GGCTATTTGTGTCACCTTATAATTGTGCACTAATAACTTTATGAGTACTTAGAATTTTGCTATCAATACCTGAATGCATCCCTAAATAATTTTGTCTATCAGCCATATCAACATAGGATCAAAGTGGTCTTTGCTACAATTGTCGTAGCTAAACCCATCAATTGTCACGTATATCAATATAACTAAATGACATGGATCAAATATGGATATGCAGCATAAAAATTACATCCTATGTAATACGAGCATGTCTATTTCTAACTGGTTCTACCTTAATTTTAGTGAGATCAACTTTAAGTAAATTCATATATAAAATATAAATCACATTCATTATAACTGAAAATATAACCAAATATACATAACCATATCTAAAGCTTTAACATAAGATATGTTTATATTATAAAAGTAACTATAATACAAAATTCTCATTGAAACTATACATCCCCAAGAGATACAACACTTATATGAGCAATGTGCTCATAAAAGACCTTGAGTGATAATCCCTTAGTGAACGGATTTGCAACTACGGAGTTCGTCTCAATGTGCTTTATTAATATATGTTTACTTTGAATTCTTTCTTTAACAACTAGGAACTTGATTTCTATATGCTTTCACTTTGTTGAGCTCCTATTGTTATTAGAATACATAACTGTAGACTTATTATCATAAAATATCTTTAATGGTTTTTCAATTCCATCTATAATGCACAGGCCAGTGACAAAATTTCACAGTCACCTTCTATGATTGGATGCCTCATAACATATTATGAACTCTACTGCCATGGTGGTAGAGACTATGAATATTTGCTTAACACTTTTTTAGAAAATAACTCCTTTAGTAAGCAAGTAGATATAGCCTGGAAAGTGGATTTTCTACTGCCTTGGCATCCACCAAAATCAGAATCATAATAACCTATAATCTCTGACTAATCTGACCTCCTGTATGTAAGCATGTAGTCCTTCGTTCTCTGTAGGTACTACATCACACATTTGGTTGTTTTCTAATGATTCATATCTGCGTTGCTCAGATATCTCCTTAGTATCTTAATAATGTACGTAATATTCAGACGCGTATAAACCTACACATACATAAGAGTCCCTACAGCTAAAGAATAAGGAATCTTTTGCATCTTCTTATATTCAAAGTCATTCTTGGGGCATTGACTTACAGTAAACTTATCTCTTTTAGATACAGATGTGTCATCTAATTTACAATCTTATATGCCAAATCTTTTAAGAACCTTTTCGATATAACTCTTTTGTGATAATCCGAGAATACCCCAATAGTGATTTCGGTGTATCTGAATCCCTAATAAAAAAGAGGCATCCCCAAGATCTTTTATTTCAAAGTTTTTTGTTAGAAATCTCTTAATTTTGTATAATAAGGCTATATCATTATTGGCAAGTAGTATATCATCAATATATAAAATTAGAAAAATATATTTACTCACTAAAGTTATGGTATACACAATCATCAACTATATTCATCTCAAAACTGAATGAGATGATAACCTGATGAAATTTATGATACCATTAACGAGAAACTTGCTTAAGTCTATAAATGAATTTCTTTATATTGTAAACCATCTGCTTCGCATCACTTGATACAAATTTTTTTGGTTGCACCATACAAATTGTCTCATTAATGTCACTATTGAGAAATGTTGTCTTAAAATCCATATGATGCAACTCAAGATCAAAATACACCACTAAAGCCATTATTAGTCTTAAAAGAATTTTTCAATAAAACTAGAGAGAAAATCTCTTTATAATTGATGTTTTTTTTTTATATAAAGCCTTTAGTGACAAAATAGGACTTGTACCTCTCCACATCGCCCTTCAAATTCCTTTTGATCTTAAATATCCATTTACAACCAATGTGTTTTGCACCTTCATGCAATGGGATAAGATCTCATAAGTCATTGTCTCTTATGGACTTGATCTCTTCATTCATGGCATCAATTCACTTTTGAGAGTTAGAGCTTTCTACGGCTTGACGGAATTTGATTAGATCATCTTTCATCATTCTAATATCATCTTTATGCTCTTAGAGAAATACGATGTAATAATCTGGAATTGCACTTCCTCTTTCTAATGAATCTTCTTAATGGCATTGATTTTTGAGTTTGTGGAGTCTGCTCTGCTGGAATAACTTCTTGAGAATGGAGGGAGGTACTATGACATTATCTAAGTTTGAAATCACTTCTTGAGCAATGTCAGGTATAAGAATCTAATCTTGAACATTATCAAGGGCAATTGAGAGAATATCAACATATTTTTCTTAAAAAACAAGGTATCAAACTCTTTCGTCCCCACAAACTCAACATCCTCAAAGAATTTAACATTTCCTATATGAAAAATTGACTTAGTAATGGGATTATAAAACTTATAACCCGTGGATCTTTCAGAATAGCCAACAAAATATCAACTGGCAATTCTTGAGTCCAATTTCTTTTCATTTAGCCTATAAGGGTTAGCCTTAGTTGGACATCCCCAAATGTGTAAATGATTTATACTAGGTTTCTTGCCCTTCCAAAGCTCATAAAGGATCTTTTCAGTCGCTTTAATTGAAACTTTGTGGAGTATATATTTGCAATCTTTTATGCTCTTCACCATATCCTTAAACATTTTGTTTCGCCTTTAAACAATATCATTCATGGTAGGCAAACCTAACATGGTATACAGCGGGGCGATACTGCATTCCTCTAGGCATCTAGCAAATGGTTTTGGACGTTGTTCGCCTTATATATCATGTCTTTCATAATATTCACCATCATGATCAGATCTCATAGTCTTAATTCTTTTGTTGAGTTGATTCTCAACTTCAGCTTTAAAACTCTTGAATATATCTAATGATTGTGATTTTTCATGAATACGATATAAGTAACCACATCTAAAATAGTCATCTATGAATGTTAGAAGTATTGCTAACCATTTTAAGAAGTTATAAGGAATAGTCAACATATATTCGTATGAATAACTTCTAATACGTTCGTAGCCCTGCTAGCACCCAATCTCCTTATGTTTATCTGTTTTCCCTTGATGCAATTAACACAAATGCAAAAATTTGTAAAATCAAGAGTATCAAAAATTCCAGCTGACACAAGTCTCTCAATTCTCCTTTTGGA